CACACACACAAGCACTTGAGCAATTATAAGATGGAAAGGTGATCCAGCAAGTAACAGGGTGGCACACAGTAGTCCTTTGTTCAGTAGCGGCTGTGACGATGGCCGTCTCTGGTCGCCTTGTCAGCAAACAAGACCTAGTGTGTGCCATCCTCGGCATGAACCAGAGACTGGAGGACGGACAGAGTGCAAACATGTATCCCGACCTCTTTCCAGTGCTGCTCCCGTCGCACCTCTGTTGGGCTCCCCCCACCACTGTGTCCTTAAATCACTTCAGCAGCTGCCCCAGTAGGGCTCGCTACCAGGGCCTCGAGAGGACTGCAACTGGGCTTAAAATAGAGATGAGGCCCTTGACTGGGGGTGCAGGTGGCTGCGCCAGGCCCTGGGTGGCAGGCCAGGAGGGCTCTGAACACCCAGACTCTGGCAGCTGGAGGCCAGATCTCCCGACCCTGGTACTCGTTTCCCCGGCCAGCCAAGCCTTGAGGGTATGTGACCTCGGGACCCCTGTGTTGCCTGGCCAGGGAGAGCCAGTCCAAAGAGGAGATAGCCGGCTATGGTGTGGGGGAGTGAGGGGTTAGGTGGTAGCTGGGGCCTTAGACTTAGTGGGGTGGATCGGGTTCAGCCTTTGGTAAGTGGGCAGGGGGAGCTCACTGTAAGGATAGAAGTCAGACAGTCTGTGCCAGGGGGCAGAGTGGGAGGTCTCCATTAGTTGGCTCTGTCTGGTTTTCTCAAAAAACAGGCCTCCTGTTTAGTTGATCTTCCTTCTGCTTCAGCCCCAAACCTGGTCTGTGTGTCAGGATAGACGTGTATCAGAGCAAACCAGAGAAGGCCCTCAGAGCCAGGCCAGGGCCTGCTGCCCCAGGGAGATGCCCAGACAGAGCGGCGGGGTGTCCGGGCAGAGCTCCTCAAACATGCCTTGCAGTGGCATTCCTGGCTGCTTCCTTCCTCCACGGCCTCCTCTCCCCCACCCAGGTCCCGCCATGGAGTCTGACCGGCCGGCCACGGAGGTCTGAAGTTCTAAGTCTTTCTCTGGACCCCCGAAGGACACGTCCAGCCACGAGACGGCAGCCACCGCCATGGCCTCCAGCGGCGCGGAGAGCCAGCTCCAGAGGATCATCCGAGATTTGCAAGGTGTGGCTCTTCAGGAGGCGGGCCGGGGCCTGTGTCATCACCAGCAACACTGAGCCTGTTCCCCTTGCTCCCACTGTCACCGCAGCCCTCAGCACAGGGCACCTTGAAATGTCTGAGGCTCCGATTTCCAGCTGAGGGAGGCTGGGAGAGCCTGCCCCACCCTCTGGAGCACTGGACAGCCAGTGTGTAAACAAACCAAATACCCCTGGCGCGTGCGTGTGTGTGTGTGTGTGTGTGTGTGTGTGCGCGCGCTTGTGTGTTTTCATTGTCTGTTAAGTCTTAGGTTGAATCACAAGCCTCTGGTCTCTGATGAGTTGGGAGGAATATATTCCCTCCTCGGAGTCGGAAAACCAGCGACCCATCTGACTTGTTTTGCTGTCCCCGCTGGTCTCGGCTGGCAGATGGCCTGTTGTTCTGGACAGTGCAGTTCTGAGCTGGCGGCCTCCTAGTTCTCGCTGCACACTCACCTTCCCCAGTGAGAGGGACTCTGACGCCCTGGGCTCACCAGGGCTCTCCCTGGGAGATCTGGTGTCCTCACTGCTGCGTGCCCCCACGCTGACCGCTTCCTCCACACAGTCTGCAGGCCCAGCTTCCTAAGAGCTCCAGCACAGTGACAGCCCACAGCCATCACCCCTTCGACGGGTCACTGGACTAGTGGGGCGAGAACCTGCCCTCGCTGTCTGAGGCTTGTTCCCTCCCATTCCCAGTGCACTGTCATTGACAGCAGCTCGTCGGGGCTGTTTCCCATGTGCAGCCACCGGTCCGCCCATCACACAGGTGGCAACTCACGGCATCCTCACGTTTGGTCCTGTGAGAGAGGTGTCACTGTTGTCCCCATTTTGCAGCTGAGGAAACAGCTGACGAGGGTAAGCCTGAGGCCGCTCACCCAGTCAGTGGCCGAGCCTTGAGCCAGTCCGTGTTCGTAATCACCACAGACCAGGACGCAGCTAACTGTCTGAGACTCTTCTGTTGGCACCTACACAGCAAGGCAGAGGGCGCGACAGGGATGGTCCCTGCTGAGTCAGCCACTGGCCTGCAGACCAGCTTGTCTCTGTTCCAGGGCCACCTTGAGAAGCTCTTGCCCTGAGGCCCTTCACTGGGAGGGAGGAGGAGGCCCTCAGGTAGAGCCTCGGGGGAGAGGCGCAGGAAGAACTGAACCGAGAAGAGAAGGCAGGCGGTCACCTTTGTCAGTGTCTGGGGGCTGGTTAGCCCTGGTCATCCCCAACAACCTGGGACAGGTGGTCTCATTCTCATACCCAGCCCGCAGCATCCTTTGCGGGGAATTGTTTTTTAATACTTTTACTGGGGACTCTTACATCTCACCACACTCCATTCATTCATCCACTGTATCAAACACAGTTGTACATAATGCTGCCATCATCATTTTCAAAGCATTTTCTTTCTCCTTGAGCCCTGATATCAGCTCCTCATTTCCTCCCCCTCCCTCATGAACCCTTGATAAGTTAGAGATTATTATTTTCATGTCTTGTATCGCCCTCCTTCGCCCCTCAGAAGTCCCCAGCTCAGCGTCACGCAGCTGTGCACATTCACTCCACACAGTACCCACGTGGAGTCGGGATACTGGCTCTTTCTCCCAGGATCCTGTGCCCTTGGCTCTCTTCTAGCTGCTGAAACTGGGCACTGACCACTCGCTGAAAGAATCCGTCTCAACAGCCTGTCTCTCGTTGCACTCAGACTCAGCTTCACTTACTAGCCGGTCTGCTTTCAAACTCTGCCCAGGGACTCTTCCCCCTGCAAAGAAATTGTCAGCAGAGACGGTTCTGTCCACTATTCCCAGCCGTCGCAGCTGGAGTGGCGGAAATCTTTCTCCATCTCTCAGCTAAATCCAGCTCCTAAGGATTCCTCTGCTCTGCTGCAGAAATCACGAGGTTGGGAGATAAAAGAGACTGTCGCTGGCAGGAGGTGGGCAGTGGAGTGAGAAAGACTTGGATGCCCATCGCAGTTCAGCTGCTCCCTTCCCAGCATCTCTGGCCAAGCCCTCTGACCTCTCTGTGGACCTTCCCACCACTTGTCTGTAAATGGGGGTGATGGCGCTAGGTTTCATTGATTCATGCTTGTGCGGCTGCTTTTCCTTTCACACTTGAGCACCTGTGAAGACATCCCACAAGGCACTGTTGCACGCCAGTGCCGGGCTCAGGACAAGTACCTGCAAAGGCCTGGCCCATGCTGGGCGCGGGGTGGGACGCAGGATGACTGCTGCTGGGCCTGTCCTTATTGTTACTGGATTGCCACCTGTGCTGAGCTAGAAGGTTATCGTGAAGAATAAGAAACCCGGCCGGAACAGAGCATCAAGCTCTCTGGCAGTTCATGTGAGGAGGACTACCGAAGACTCATCCACACCAGAAACACTGACCACTGCCTGCTGCCTGCAGATGACGAGGTCTGGGCAGACAGGGATGACCAAAACAGGTGCCCAGTACTTGTGAATTCTTAGGACATTTTATTTATCTTTTAAAAAATGTTTAACTGTTGACTGCAAATTGGGTGAAGGTTTACAGAGCAAATCAGTGTTCTTTTCAGCAGTTCATACTCCTTTTGTTCCATGTCACTGATTGCAATTCCCACACGGCACCAGCTCGCCCGCCCGCATCCCGTTCCCTCCCTGTGTCTCCTGCTCTCTCAGGACATTGGAATCACCTGACTTGAGTTGTTGCCCTCGGACAGTTACACGCCTTTAACGTTTCTCAGGGGTTGGCTCTGCGCACTTACTCCTCTGGCTTGTTGGGTTTTGAGGGGGTGCCAAAAACAAAAAACGGAATTGTGCTGGGCTGAATGGAGCTTTGTTAGTACTCAAGCATTGAGCAATTTGCTCTGACTTAGAGCACCCAGTGGTATTTCCTGGGAAGTTTCTCACTGGTCACAGTGAATTTTTTCGTGAAAGCAGTTGTGCTCGAACTTCATTTTTTGTGATGGCCAATTTAAGAGAACAGTATGCTCCTGAGAGATTTTGTTTACTGCTGGGCAGGTTGGGGGGTGGGAAATGCCGTAGAAACTGTTGTGATGTTGAACACAGCTCACTCGGGCAGTGTTACGGGGAAAAAATCAAGTGTACAAATGGTTTTCTCATTTTAAAAAAGGTGAAATGTCAGTTGATGACAGACCTTGTTCTGGACGTCAGTCAACTTCCTGGAAATGTCATCTTGTACATTTGGTGTTCTTTTCACCTGGTCAGACTTAATCAAGCTTTCTATTTAGAGCTTCTGGAAAGATAGCGTAATAGTGTGTGACAAAAAAGGCCTGCTCTGTGGCAGACAGGGTACTGGTTTTGCCACCGCGACCATGCACCCGATCACACAGCCATCTCAGTGTGCCAGTTTTTAGCCAAAAACAGCATGCCTCTCTTGCTCCACACACCTGACTCACCTTTCCTCGCTCTCTGCAACTTTTTTGTTTCTGCAAATGAAGAGGGACATAAAAGGACAGCAGTTTGACAATGGTGAAGACAAAAATGAGGGAGGTGCTGTCAGCCATCCCAACAGATGAGTTTGAAAAATGTTTCCAAGAATGGAATTGCAGGTTTGACAAAGGTATTAAGTGTAATGGAGAGTACTTTGAAGGTGATAAGGTTGTTTTCTGCAAAATTTAAATACATAGCTTTGCAGGGAAAACATTCTGGTTTTTGGGGAGTACCCCTTCGTATTCCTGTTTCTTTGTCTGGGGCCCACGTCCATCTGGCTACGTGTTCCCGTTTGTTGTTTTCTAGATGCGGTGACTGAACTAAGCAGCGAATTTAAGGAAGCAGGGGAGCCCATCACAGACGACAGCACCAGCTTACATAAGTTTTCTTACAAGCTCGAGTACCTCCTTCAGGTAAGTGATCCCTGTGGCGAGGGGATTGCCCCTCTGCTGTCTCGCTTCCCTCTTGGTCCGAGTCAGCATTCAGGAAGTGGTTCAGCAAGCTCAGCGAGGCTTGAAACTGAAGGTCAGAGCAGCCTCCAGGGAGAGCGCCATCCTCTGGAAAGCAGAATGTTGTCCTTACCGTGCCTTGCCGGCTTCAAGAGCAGACTTCAGTGATGGAGGTCATCTTAAGGCAGGTCAGAAAGTCACTGTAGTGGGCATCTTAAGTACTGGGCAGTCACACACACCTTTAAGAGTCTGGTGAAAGCGGTGGATTCTCCCTTCAAATAGACACTCAAAGGTGTGCACATTTCCGAGCACCTTGTAGGGGTGCTGGGACCCTCTGAAGGTTACCCATAGACCCATGCGAGATCCTCACTGTTCAGAGTGTGATCCTTAGACCAACAACCTGCAAGCTTGTTAGAAATAAACTACTCGTTCCCATCCGACCTACTGAGTGAGTCATCATCTCTGGAGTCGGGCCAGGAAACTACGCCCGTGGCATAATTCTGAACGCCCACGTCGTTCAGGAAACCCAGCTCTGGCGAACTCTAGCTGTGGAAAATTACATGCCACTAAAAGTAGCAGGATTGAAATGTACCCAAGTGTTAACACAGATTGTCGCAGGGTGGCGATGTTAAACCTCACAGTTATTTCCTCCTTGTGTTTGTTAGCTTTCCCAGTAACGTATTCCTGTATTACTTCTACAGTCAGAAAAAAATGGCTGTATTTTGAACTCTGTTACTTGGGAGCCTCATGTCCCACCAAAGCTTACAGGGTGGAGCCCAGGGAAGAAGAGGCCGGGCTGTATTGAAGGAGCTGCCGTTTCAACTGGTTCTCTGTTTGAGATGTGAAATGACTCATAGCTGACACTTTGGTTCAATGTAGTGTATGAGCATTCAGGTTTGGTTTTGAAATAAGAGTTCAATGGCTGGAATAAAACATTCATTTGTTTCCCAAAGTTGGAACATCATTAACACTCTCCCTCTGCCTCACCTTTCACTCGCCCTTCTTTCTGTATTCTGCATTCGTGGCAGATTTGGTTGTCTTCCACCCAACGGGGTGCACAGAGATCCCTTCCAGGGAGAAAGCTGTTTTGGGTGCTGTTAATCCCGAATTTCATAATGGTGTGTGACCTTGAGCCAGTGACCCTAGCCTCTCCAAGTCTCTGTACCCTCATCTTCCAGAATTGCTGAGGATGAAAATATTGGCAATAGATACAAGTCAACTAAAGAGCCACAGTTATTGCTTACCATTTAAATGGCAGGTGAACGCCAGTGAGTTCAGACCTCTAGTCTCTGTGTCATTGGCCTTCCTCAAGGTTGTTACTGGTGGTTCTTGTATGTTCCCAACCGGCACCAATTCAGCCGTTTCAGAATATACAGGCTCATGCCGTAGATTTCATTCTCCGGTTGTACAACCATTCTCACTGTCCTTCACGATTAACACGCATTTCCTGCCCCGAAAGCTTCCATCCAAACTTTTGAGTTGCTGTTGCCAATTTGATCCATATAGATTTTAGAAGAGTGTAAAGCTGAAGGCTGACTTTTTTACAAGAAAAGCCAAACCAGCTCTACCGCCATTGTGTCAATTCCAACTCAACAGTGACCCTAACTTGGCTTTAAAGACTGCACATCGTTACGGGACCAAACAGCCTCATCATTCTCCCATGGAGTGGCTGGTGGATTTGAACTGCCATCTTTGTGGTTAGCAGCAGGTCAGTTTTGTTGTTGTGTTGTTTTTTTTTGAATCAATTATTTTATTAGGGGACACTTACAAATCTTACAACAGTCCATTATTCAATTGTATTAAGCACACATGTACATATGTGGCCATCAACATTTCCAAACCTTCTCTTTCTACCGGAGACCTTGCCATTAGCTCCTCTGTCGCCTCCCTCCCCCACCCGCCCACCCTCTCAAATCTTCAGTCAATTATACATTATTGCCATTTCATGTCTTACACTGTCCGCTGTCTCCCTTCACCCACATTTCTGTTATTTGTCCTTTTCGGGTGGGCTACATATCCATTCTTATGATGGGTTCCCCTTTCTGTGCCTCCCCCCATCTCCACTATCTCCTTATCCTTATGATACCATGACTTCCACTACTGTTCACTAGGGTTTATCTGCCTTGAATTCCATGTGTCGAGAGCTCTTACCAGTACCAATGTGTGTGCTTGGTCTAGCAGATTTTCAAGGCAGAACTGGGTCATGGTAATGGAGGGGAGGAAGCATTTAGGAACTAGAGGAATGATATGTGTTTTGTCGGTGCTATATTGCACCTTGATTGAATCGTCCCATCCTTGTAACCCTTCTGTAGGGGATGTCCAGTTGTCTACAGATGGGCCTTGGGTCTCCACTCCCTTCTTTCACATTGATATAATTGTTTCGGATCTTTGGGTACCTGATAATTGATCCTATCGACAGCTCATGATCACACAGGCTGGTGTGCTTCTTCATGTGGGCTTATTTGCTTCCATGCTAGATGGCTGCTTGTTTAACTTTAAGCCTTTTAAGACCCCAGACGCTATATCTTTTGATAGTCGGGCACCATTCGCTTTCTTCATCACATATGCTTATGCACCTATTTGGTCTTCAGCGATCGTGTCCGGAAGGTGAGTATCAAAGAGTGCCAGGTTATTAGAACAAAGTGTTCTTGGTTTTAGGAAGGCCTGAATAGAGGCCCTAAGTCCATCTGAATATGTACACTGTCCTCTCTCCCTTTCATAATAAATTAATATGATTACATATATACATGCCTATAGCTATACCTCTATAAATAGCTCTTGCCTCCTGTTTCTTCCCTCTATTTCTTTTCGTGTTGGTTGGTTTTAAGACTTGAGGGGATAATTTTGGCTTAAGGTTTAAAAATTAGCTTGGGACAGAGGTCTCAGGGGCTCATCTGTCCTGTCACTCCAGAAAGTGGAGTCCATGCAAATCTGAAGTTAGCTCTGCATCACCTCTTGATCAGGTCCTGCTACAGGCTCTTTCACGCAGTGCGCATTACGAGTAGTGGGCACCACGCAGTTCTCTCTTTCACGCAGTGCGCATTACGAGTAGCTGGGCACCACACAGTCTGGTCTCCCTGTCAGGGAGGCGGCTGTTTCAGAGTCAATTAGCCGCACACTGTGTCTTCCTCTTATCTGACTTCTCGCTCGGTATTCCAGGTGAGCAGAGACCGAGTGTTGTCGTACCTTGGATGGTAGTGCCCAGTGAACAGGGAGGCAGCACCAAAGCAGTGGAAATGCCAGTTTGCCAGTTCTCTGGTATGAAACCATGAGCCTAAGCGCCCAAATCAAGGAACCAAATCTCAGGAGAGGTTTGGTTGGTGGTTTATAAGGAATCTCAAGAGCTACTTTTTTGTGTTGTTGTTATTGTAAGTATACCTATCACACAGCTTTTGGCAATTCAAATTTTTGCGTGTGTACAACTTACAGCAATTACAACAATCAAGGGCGAGACCCTATCTTAAACCAGTGCATTTTTTCCATCATTGTTAACACCCACCCCCCGACCAAGAACCCTGATGGGTTACATGTTGGGCTCCTAACTGCAAGGTCAGCAGTTCATACCCACCAGCAGCTCTGAGAGACAAGAACGAGGCTTTCCGTTCCTATAAAGCAGTGGTTCTCAACCTTATTAATGCCGCTGCAACCCTTTAAGACAATTCCTCATGTTGTGGTGACTTCCCAACCTTAAAATCATTTTCGTTGCTACTTCATAACTGTAATTTTGCGACTGTTATAAATCGAGTGACCCCTGTGAAAGGGTTGTTCAACCCCCAAAGGGGTCACGATCCACAGGTTGAGAACCGCTGCAAAAGATCCAGAGGCTCTTAAAGCCCACAAGGGCAGTTCTACTCTTACAGGGTCGCTTTGAGTCAGAATTAACTCGATGGCTAGGAAGTTTGGTTTTTGGTTTTGTTAAGTCCCATTTCCCCTTACCTCTGGTAACCACTAATATACATTGGTTTTTATACATTTGCTTTTCTTAGTTTGTTTTTATCAGTGAGCACATATAATATTTGTCCTCTTGTGATTGTCTTATTTCGGTCAGCATAATGGCTTCAAGCTCCATCGAGACTGTCATGTGTCAAGACTTCATTTCTCCTGCTTGCTAAGCAGTATTCCATTGTATGTAGGTACTGCATTTTGTTGATCCGTTCCTCTGTTGATAAGAATGTAGATGGTTTCACTTTGGGGCTATTATCAGTAGCATACTGGTGGTCAAGTCTCTCTTTGAGTCCCTGCTGTGAGTCTTTGGGGTATATACCTCGAAGCAATGGCTGGGTCATATAGTATTCCATTTTCTGTTTTTGAAGAACTGCCACACTGGTTTTCACCAACTGCTGTGCCGTTCCCCTCGCCCCCCACTAGTACTGGAGGAGGATCCCAATTCACCCACTCCTTGCCTTCACCCACTCCTTGCCAACAGTCATTTGGTTTTGGGGGTGGTGTTTGCTTGTTTCTTTCCATCTCAGCCATCTGAGAGTTGGGGCGAAATGGTATCCCCTTGTGGTTTGATTTGCCATCTCTGATGGCTGAGGATGCTGAGCATATTGTTATGTCTTTGGTGACCAGGTTCGTGGCCTGTTTGGTGAAATATCTATTCAAATCCTTTGTACATTTTGTGGTTGAGTTTGTCTTTTTGTCGTCAACCTTTTACATGTACATAAACTTGTATATATGCAATATTGGCTGTTGGATTTTGTTGGATGTATGGTTTCTGAAGGGGCTGTCACAATTGGCAGCACACACATCTTTTCACTTTTCATAAATTCTTTTGACAAAAGTTAAATTCTATGGGGTCTCATGTTACCTTTATCTCTCTCTTTTTAAAATATTTTTATTAGGGGCTCATACAAGTCTTATCATAATCCATACATACATCAATTGTG